ATACTTCTTGCATTTGAAGACCAGAACCTGGATCTCAGCAGTTTCACAGACCCACTTTATCCTTGTCGAGAGTTAATGAGATCAGAATAAAACCAAACAAACACTCCCCGAGTCCGATGCTTCGCAGACCATGGTGATATATTAGAGCAGCAGAAATAAATCACATTCATTGTCATAGAGGACAGAGGGGACAATGGTGTCTTGCCACTGTCTGTCCTCTCTCTGTGGATCTAGAGAATCTTAACTGAGGACTGTTTCGTGGGTAGAAGGAATGAGACCTAATCACCTAACTTCTAGCCCCCTCCTTCCACAGGGTTCCACTGGAAACCACACCGGAGGGCATCAACCTCAGGCTTTAGAATACCATCACTGTCTCCAGCAGAGGTGTGGAGCTGCACTAAGATCTCTTTCCAAGTTACCTAACCTCCCTTTGCCTTGGGTTTCTTGTCTGTAAAGTGGCAAAATCATAGAAACCACAGCTTAACACGCACGAATAAAGCACCTCAGTCAAGAGGCTGTGAGATGCAGTGTTGAGAAGCAGACAGTCTAAGGTCGGACTCAAATACCAGTGCAATTATTTATATGCTGTGTGATCCAGGGAAAGCAAACGAACTTCTTTCTGTTTTAGCTTGTTATCCCCCAACTGGGCTGTCATAATGCTATAACATGAAAGAGCTACTGTGGCAATTAAATCAATTCATGTCTGCCTTGCCATATAAACAGGGCTGATATGTGTGAGGGCTAATGAAACACTCACTATTGTATTAGTGTTTTCTGGAAAAGTTTTAAATATTGTTTGTAAAGACATGAAAATAAAAATAAAAAAATTCTGACACTTTGCTTCTCTGTTTAGTTCTATTAAATATAAAATATTAGATATAAAAACACCAGCCTACAGTGACAGTGTTATAATGTTGGGATACTCTTTGTTTCCTAGTAACTTGGCAATGTCTTTCACACAATATTCTCTCTCTTTGAAGATTAGATATCGGTGCATTTTAAAACAAATCTTAATTAAGATCAATGTTTCCTAATTTCCTTAAACCTAATGCCATTTAATTAATCCTTGCACCCAATTCTTTTCTCCCTCTGAATGCTAAAGTCAATGATTTTCACAGAATGGAGAAGATTTACATGTATTGGGAGGATGATAAATGCACCAAACGTTTGTTCAGGACAATTTCTGGTCTTGTCTCTCCTGCTCTTTCCTCTCAGCATCCATTTTAATGTCTCTGCCATTCATTTATTCATTCAGTATTTATTGAGCAGACTTGTCGGGCGCCATGATAAGTGGTAGCACATAATGATTCTGACACTTGAATAGTGTTTTACAGCTTACAGATCATATTCACATGTATTAAATTCATTCAGTCCTCCGAGCCACTCACTTCATCTCGCTCCAGTTATTCCTTTCCTTTTAGCTTCATATTCCCTCAAATCATTTTAGAGTATTTTCTAAGTGCTTTGGTGGGGTGAGGTGGAGTGGTGAACACAGGTTGGAAAAGCGTAAGACGAGACTATAGGCTAGAAATGCTTCTAGTAGCTCATACTTTAGTTTCAAGGTTCAAGTTCTTGCAAAGGTGTGCTCTCTTTTACTTAGGAAAGTGCAAAGAGTCATATGAAAAAGAACAGTGACCATCAATGCATCCTTCGCTGGAAAATGGGTTGAACCTAAACATAGAGAGGATAATTTCCGAAGTCTTTCTGGATCTCCACCCAATTGGTTGTATTTAAAACATCCTGGATGCTTGCTCTAAAGAGCTGTGACCCCCACCTGCACCCCCCCCCCCCCCCCCCCCCCCCCCGCTGCCAAACATACCCAGGCCAATAGATTCAAGCATCCAAGTTAATAGGTTTTGTGATACTAACCCATGGGCAAGAATCAAAAGACACAAAAATCAACCAGGAAATTCAGGAAATTCTCAAATACTTGTGTCTTAAATCTCATTTAATCCATTAATGTCTATCATACACAACCTGGCTTCTATAGGAAATGCCAGGGGCTCCTCCGCAGGAAGTAGCTTGAGGTGGATGAATGTGTCATCTCTAGAGGTATAGAACAACGACTGCGGCCTGTTGTAGGCACACAGCACCTTTCCAGTTTGTAGTCAGTGACTATGTCAAGGACACTTTGATATTTACAGGATACAAGTGGATGACACTGTGCATAAACTTGTACTGAGAGAGAAACTCATTCCCCACACAGACCCCTTGGAATAAACCTAGAATGCTACTATTCCAGAATGTGCCATGACCTTCTCTTTTCTGTTCCATTTTCATTTTCACAGAGACACCTTTCCTGGATACTCTCCATAAGGTATTATCCTCATATTTATCCATTTATTTCACTTCACGAATGTTTTTGTGATGTTCATTACTACCTGAACAGTGTGTGTGTGTGTGTGTGTGTGTGTGTGTGTGTGTGTGTGTGTGTGTACTATAAACTCTAAGAGGGCAGTGACTATTTTTAACATACTTCCTGGAACACAGTGATAGACCCTGAATGAATATTGATGGAATAAGTGAATGAGCAACATATCACATAATTATAAAAGCCCAGCTGTATTCTAGATACCAGGGATATAGCAATGAACGAAGCTGACAAACATAGCTGAACTCTTTGGATCTTACATTAAGGCACAGGGAAGGAGACTTTCCACAAGCAAGGCAGGGAAGCTTCGAGAATAGAGCTGGGCATCATCACACAGAGTGACGGAGAAAGGGGACCTGGGGAAGGTAAGAAAAGAGGAGGTGTACACAGTGTAGGGGGAGCATGGGCCATTTAGGCATAGAGAAAAAGAAGGGCCAAGAGTCTGTGCGGTCACACCCAGCACATTCTTTGCAAAGTGTTGGGGGATGGGCCAGAGAAGCATGAGTGGGTCAGACACAGGCAGGCAGTCTTTGAGGTCACTCGGAGGACTTTGGTCTTGCTCTTGTGTGAGTTGGGTGGGTACTGTAGGGCTCTGAGCAGACCCAAATGTTGGGTCTGATTGGATCCTCCTGTGATGAAAGACTGATGGGTGCTGGGGTAGAAGCAGTTAGGAGTCCCAGGCAGTCAAGCAGGACGAAATGCTGGCGTGGTCCGGAGGAGTGGCACAGAGGTAGTGAAATCCTTAAGACGGGAAGGATCTTGAAGGGAGGCCCGGCAGAATCTACTGAAACAATGAACAAAAGTAATGACCCAATTGTGCCAAGATGACACAAAAGTCTTTTCTTGGATTTGCAGAAAAGAGCAAGTTTTGTCAGGCCTCAGACGCTGATGTAACAGATTCAGTCCTGGGACTTAGAACTCGTGGGTCAACTATCATTTATCCCAAAGAACAGTGCCAAAACGGCGAAATATATTCAGTACCAAAAATCCGTGCTTGCAATTGAGCAGCCTGGGCTGGGTTTGATCTTATTTCAGCTCGCTGACACGACTGCAATAATTGTTCGGCAGACATAAACATTTCAAAAATGAAAATGACACTCATCCGTGAGAAGACTATCAAGCTCATCCCTTGGTTGCACAAGGGGTAAATATCATTATCGAGAACAAAGATCTTTCCTGGCTTATTGTGATCGACAGCCTGTCCTTCAAAGTGATCTGATAACTGTTCAGATCCCCAACCCTTTGCCTCTTGGCTGCTCTGAAGGAGCCTTGGCTATGCTTCAGCCTTAAATTCTTCACAGCCTGATACTGAGCACTGCAGAACAGCGTTTATTAACCTTGAGGTTCCTCTACCTCGATCTTCTGGAATCCCTTACCTATTAGTTTACCAAGACCAACAACCACACAACTACTCACAAATTTGGAATTTCAGAATGAGCCTAGTGCAAAGATGGAAATTTGAAGAGAGCAATCTGTCTCATTCCTCGGGGAGACCAGGGAAGGCTCCCCGGCAGAGGCGGAGTTCTGTGGGCTGCAATTTGCGCATGACTGCTAAAGTACAGGAAGTAGGAGGTCATAGAGACCAGGGCTGGATCTAAAGGGCCTTCAAACTTACACGTCCGCTTCTCTGGTGCACGGTCTTTTTAAGTACAGAAGAGAAAGATGGGGAGGGACCTGGAAAACCAGTGCTCCCGGACCTCTAGAATAGCTACCCAGGGCCAGAAAGCCGACTTCTTGTGCATGTGTATTAAAATTTCAGGGAACAAATAAAATATTACTAAGAACTGCCTCAGACTGGAATTTTCTGGTGCGATTCACAGATGGCTGAAAGGAAGCCGAGGCCTCACATTCCGCTTTCGGAGGCGCTTGGAAGCCTTCAAGGGGACCAACTATAAGCCCCACCTTTCCCCACCCAACTTCCTCTCCTAGTCATTTCTGTTCACTGCCGTATTATGTTGAGGTTTCCTGGCCGAAGAGTTTATGCACTCGGAAAGTTAAACTATCACAGCATCCTCGCGAAGCCTTCGCGTGTGGTTTCTAGGGATTTTTTTTGAGGCTATACTGCAGTCACGTGAAAACCTTTGGGTTGCAGTGACCCCTCCGTCCCTCCAGAGCTGTGTCTCTCTTCAGAACTTCCAGAGACACGGGGATCCTCTACCGCAGCGCTCTGCACAGTTGAAAGCCGGGTGAGGTCTAGAGGGCGCTAGGCCGCAGGCTACCAAACCTTTCCCACTCTGCCAGAAAGTTTCCGAGCCCTTCTGGAGTCCCTGGGTACGGGCTGCGGTCGGCCGAGAAGGGGACACAGATGATCGCTTTAGAGAACAGCCTTCCGGGGAAGCGCCGAGGCTCTGACCCACTGCGGAAGAGGAAGGAGAGCTGGGTCCGGGCGCCGGAGGGCGGTGACAGTCTGGTCGCCCCCCGGAGCGCGCGGGTCAGGGTGGAGCCTGCAGCCCCGAGCCGCCTCAGCGTTTAGCATGCAAATCCATTCCCCGCTCCTCCTCTCCCCCCCCGCCCCCAGCCCTCCCCGCCCCGGGAGCGAGCTCCGCCGCTCCGCCGCCGCCCACGCCTCCTGCGCGCCGCGGCGCCAGAGCGGGCGGCTCTACTTAAGCGGCGCGCGGGCCGCGACCCGCCACTCGCCTGGAGCGCGCGGGCGAGGCGGGCGCAGCGCACCGGGGCTCTCGTGGGCTCACAGCTGCGCGCTCGCACCGCGCGGCTCTCGGTGGCGGCGGCGGCGGCGGCCGCCTGAGCGCAGGGCTCCCCGGATAAAAGCCGCTGCGGCTCCCGATCGCGACCCCGCTCCCTGTCGCATCCCGGCCGGCCACCTCTCTGGCCATGGCTCTGGCGGACAGCACCCGAGGATTACCCAACGGGGGTGGAGGCGGGGGTGGCAGCGGCTCGTCGTCGTCCTCCGCGGAGCCGCCGCTCTTCCCGGACATCGTGGAGCTGAACGTGGGGGGCCAGGTGTATGTGACCCGGCGCTGCACGGTGGTGTCCGTGCCCGACTCGCTGCTCTGGCGGATGTTCACGCAGCAGCAGCCGCAGGAGCTGGCCCGGGACAGCAAGGGTCGCTTCTTTCTGGATCGGGACGGCTTCCTCTTCCGCTACATCCTGGATTACCTGCGGGACTTGCAGCTCGTCCTGCCGGACTACTTCCCCGAGCGCAGCCGGCTGCAGCGCGAGGCCGAGTACTTCGAGCTGCCGGAGCTCGTGCGTCGCCTCGGGGCGCCCCAGCAGCCGGGTCCCGGGCCACCGCCGCCACACTCGCGCCGCGGGGTTCCCAAGGAGGGCTCGGTGGGCGACGAGCTGCTGCCGCTGGGCTACTCGGAGACCGAGCCGCAGGAGGGCGCCTCGGCCGGGGCTCCGTCGCCCACGCTGGAGCTGGCTAGCCGCAGCCCGTCCGGGGGCGCGGCGGGTCCCCTGCTCACACCGTCCCAGTCTTTGGACGGCAGCCGGCGCTCCGGCTACATCACCATCGGCTACCGAGGCTCCTACACCATCGGGCGCGACGCCCAGGCGGACGCCAAGTTCCGGCGGGTGGCGCGCATCACGGTGTGCGGCAAGACGTCGCTGGCCAAGGAGGTGTTTGGGGACACCCTGAATGAGAGCCGGGATCCCGACCGGCCCCCGGAGCGCTACACCTCGCGCTATTACCTCAAGTTCAACTTCCTAGAGCAGGCCTTCGATAAGCTGTCCGAGTCGGGCTTCCACATGGTGGCGTGCAGCTCCACTGGCACCTGCGCCTTTGCTAGCAGCACCGACCAGAGCGAGGACAAGATCTGGACCAGCTACACCGAGTACGTCTTCTGCAGGGAGTGAGCTCCCCAGACCCCTGGCCACTCCTGCGCCCACTTCCCTTCCTCCACGCGGGGGCACAGGATTATAGATGCCCTAGACCCCTTCCCCTCGGTGCCCAGGTTCCTTCTGCCCTTCCCGTCTCTCCCCCAGTAGCTCATCCAGACCCGTCAGCTCCCCACTTGAGAACCTGCAGCCACAGATCCTCTGGGCTTCTTCGTCTTCTTTGGACCCCGCTAACCGAGAGTGCTCAGATGTAGCTCTTCTTCACCTATGCTTCCTCTACTCCTGGCCTCCAACCACCCTTCCCCCCAGATTGTACTTGAGTCCAGAGCTAGTGGGGCAGTGCGGGCGCAAAGTCACCAAGTACCCGGGAGTGACTGAATTGTTCCGACCCGACTGGACGGTGTCCAGCGTGCAGTGTGGAAGTCTTTGAAACCTTAAGTCCCTTGACGCCCTAGTGGTTTCAGAGATCAGAACTGAGAGCGCTGTGTGGAGATAGTGTTTTAAAAGACTTGTTCCCCATTAGAAAGATAAAAGTTTTAGAGGACAGAATGGAAGACTGTAATGCTGGGATTAAGACCCCACGGAGGCAGTTCAGAGACTGTAAATAAAGTGATTAGAAAAAAAGAAAAGAAAAGTGACAGGTAGAAGTAAATCCTAGTACTGGTAACGGGAGGATCCTATTTCCCCTACACAATAGATCTCCTGTGGCTAAAAATTGTAGAAAGCGATGATCCTCCTGCCTGCGGAGGCGCCCTTTCTCGTCAGCTGTTTGCCTGAGCTTTAGGTTGTGTTGGTTAAGGCAGCCCTTGTAGGCAAGGAGCAGGCAGCAGGAGGCAAGGCTGCCCAGGCCCCCAGCGCTGCAGAAAGTCACTGGCAGAGACTGAGTAATGTCGGAGTGTTGGTAGGATCATACAGCCCTTAGGTCTAGGACTAGTGGGAGGGTTGGGGAGGGAGGAAGGGCGGGGAGGGAGGAGAGGACATACTCATTTATTATTTGGAAGCTGGAAGTTTGTACCATCCATTTGAGTACATTCACATTTAAAAAATATCAAACAGTACATGTAAACTTAGATTTTTTTTAATCAAGGTTAGTAAAAGTCCCTTCAGCTGCAAGTTTATCGAGCTATTTTGAGTCCTAAACTGTTAAGTTGCTAATACTTGTATAACCTAACCAAAGAGTTTCCTAGTAGTTTTAGTGGTTTGAACGTTTATTTTCTTGTTGATTATATTTCCTCATTTTTTTTAAATCCTATTTACTTAAGCAAAGTAAGTTTGATTTTAGCTTAGACTTAAGATCTCTTATTATCATTATTTTAAAATTACTGTTTTTCTCTAAGCCCAGCGAATATGGACTGCTGGGCAGTTCTGAAAACCCGAACAACGCCATTTCTTTCGTGCGTTTGTTTGACGTTTCAGTGGACTCTTTTTTCAAATGACAGAGCTGAAGATAAACGTAAGCACGGGAGCCGCCCATCTGTAGACAGCTGTGAAGTGAAATGTTTTTAAATGAAGGCAAACAAATACTTCAGTGTGAGCTGAGCAATAACAGGGCGTTTCAGGTAAATGCAGCAGCAACAGGAGCCCTGGTTGCCTTTTGCCTTTACTCTCACGTGGAATGAATTCCTAGAGTGTATCCTGTGTCCACCACAGCCGAAGGGAGGTGAATCCGTATGCTTTCCGCTGAGAGGCACCCTTTGAATTATCTGTGATGATGGAGAAGCCTTTTTTTTGTGTGTGTTTGTTTTATCATCTTTCTCTGAAATATGTTTTAAAAGATTTTGTAAGAGTTGTTTTAAGTGTTTAAATTAGTACTATTTTTCTTTCTTTTTAAAAATGAACCTTGTACTGTACTTCACTGTGTCCATGGCAGATGTTATGAATTGGGACCATTTTATTCTCAGACTCATGTGATCCAATCTGTATATACCATATATAAACATTTTACACGAATCACTTAGTTTTTTAATTCATCTACTAATGCTATAAAACTTACTGTATTTACCCCTGGTAACTTGCATTTGGTGGTGTATATACAAAAGCAACACGTTTTGGTGAGTTTCTTATATCCTTGCCTGTGAACTTGGGTCAGGAAAACATTCATAACTAGGAGGCTGGGTTTGCTCCATACATTTTTGCTGAGATGTTAGTTGTATACTGATCATATGTCACTTAACTGTCTACCTGTATTCAAGTTATCCATATTTTTAATCCAATAATGTTTTTATTTTAATTGGGAGAGGTTTAAGTATTTTTTGTTAGTTACCTTTTTTTTTTTAAAAAAAAATAAAAGTTAGTTTTATGTATAGAGTCTGCAGTTTTAAAGAAAGGGAAGCAGGGATCCAGGAAGTTGTGTTAACTTTAGTTTTGAGCTTGTTTTTAGACAGTGGATCAGGAAATGGACCAGAACCTTTGTTTCAAGCCTGAAATGATTTAGGACTGTCACTCACTGGTCAAACGTGAGTATCTTAGATTTCTCCATGTTATGGTACTCTGTTAGATTGCTTAACAAAGAAATGCATGATTAAGAGCATCTTTAGAACAGATCAGAATACGCTGACAGATGGCAAGATGGAAGTTCTGATCCCCCCTCGTCAAATCTGCACAACTTTAGGAGCCATGAGAAACTGCTCAAGTTTTGTCTGCGCTCAAGTCTTATGAATGGTGTCTTCAAAAACAATTCAATTGTCTCGTGAACATGTAGGCATCTTTTTGTATTCCACCACACCTGGCTGGTCTGTAATTTTGAAGACTGGGGATTTAGTGTTAGGAATAGTACATGAATCTCTTTCCCTGGAAGTGACTGTGCCCTCTGCTGTTGAGGCCAATGCATGAAAACTTTGTACTTTTTAGCCCAAAGTGAAGTCTGAGTAGTCACCTTAGTCTATGAAAAGGAACATAGTGTGACCGAGTCAGGATCATTTGGAATGGGTACTTTTCTCTCCTTGGCTTTAGGCTTTAGAAGAAAACTTTAAGGCTTATAAAATGTTCTAAAGTATTGGTTAGCATCTGTGAATTTGATTAGTATACCAAATAGAGTAAGGCTCTCAAAAATATATTTGAAATGACCTGGGAGAATGTTGTAAACTATTCAAATAATTGTGGCTGCATTAATCCATCTCAGAGAGGCAAGCATTTGCATATGTTGATCAAATTACCATTTGATGCTGATCAATAATGTAATGACATTAGATTTAATAACTAATTTTTATAAAGAAGTGTTGACAGTCATTGTGGTTGGAAAAAAATAGGTACATGTTCCATGCTTGCATATCAGATATTTGTTTTTTTTAATACATGTGGATTATGAACCACATTCATTCTAAGTTTTCAAACATGTAGAAGAAAATATTCTTTGAAGATGTGAGAAAATTTCCCCCTTTTAATACTGTTTTTATTCTAGTGTTTCTTATTTAGGTTTTTCAATTGATAGCAAAGTGATAATACTAGCCCAAATTGTCTTCTTTTTAAAAGCAGAATCATATATATCTATATATTTTCAATGTGTGTGCTGCTTCTCTGAGGAAATATAAAATGTGCGAATACTCAGAGAAAACCAGCAGTGCTTACAATGTATTCTAATTTTTATTGTAGTTTCCATAGAATGCTGTTATCACATCAAAGCCATGTATGACGAAGCTTTGACAGTTTTTTAACTCTTCAAATTATGGTGAACTCCAATCTAGTACTCAAATCGTTTTTGTACTCCTACATGTAAAATAAATTATAATGCAGATAGTTAGAAAAATAGTGAAGGAAGTGAATTTCTTAAGAATTTCTTTTATAGTCTTAGTTACAAGTACTGTAAAACTGACATTTTAAAAATAGTAAACTTGGTATTTTTATTGTTGAACTCTTAGTCAAGACTTTGCTTGCAATTTTTATTATGTTTTTCATCACTACAAATCATTTAAAATCTGAATATTTGGGATAACTTCAATCTGTCTCTTGAGTAATGAATAAAATGCAGTATTCTTATTCTATAGACTTATTCAGAGTCTATAGTACCTGGAAGAAGTTTTCACATAGCCATAAATAAGTTATGCTGTAGTCAACTTTTCTTTGTGACAGTTTTGGACAGTACATATCTCAAAGTATTAATAAGTGAGGATTTAAGATTCTTTCCTGGGCCCCATTAAACAAAGATGGAAGAATCCTAGCAGAAGATGGGCTCACACAGTGTGCTGTTGTGGGGAGGAGGAAGGACTAGTTGACCAAGAATATTTGCCACTTAAAGATTTTTGTAATTCTTTTCGAGCCAGTTTTGTTTACTTAAAATGTGTTTTTAAGTGTGCAGACATTAATTGTAATGCTGTCTTCGTGACTTTATAGCCAGGTAAACTTTGGTATAACTCTTGAATACATTCACCAATTACCACTGTTAATATCCATTTGATGACAAAGGATTGAAACATTCACCATGGCTATGAATTTTGAACATGTAAATTAAATTTTCTGGGCACTTGCAAAATCCTGTTTGTAATAATTATTTGGATTCTGAAATGTTGAAAATGTTATTTGCTAAGTGATACATCTCTTTGAGCTGTTTCTTAAAAATCTAAGGATACATGGAAATATAATATCAGACTTTTCTAACAAAACATAAACCCAAGAGTAAGAGCCCCTCTACAGTAAAAGGAAAACAAAAACACATGGATGAAATCTTTTCAGAGATGCTCAAACTTTGAAATTGCTTTCATCCACCCAAATGTTTTATTTTATCTATTCACAACCAGTTGTATAATGGAAACACTCAATACTGGTTTCCCTGCTGTGTGTGAAGTAATGAATCATTGATTATGTGACTTGTTATGTATTCTATTAAACACTAAAGAATAAAACATTCACTCCTTTAATTACTCCCTTTGGCTCTTGGGTATGGATTGGCTGGAATACTGTTCTAATTTCATTTAAGGAGTTTTGGGAATGCTTTCCACACTGCTGTGGGACTGAAGGACAGTGAGCAATGCCACCAGACCAGCAGAACTCACCAAGTAAATTTCCAGCTGGGCCAGGCTGAATCAGGCCCTTTTCTCTTTTTATTGTCAAGAATGCTTAACATACAATCTGATAGTCATTGCAAAAGAGAGGTCTTTAATTTCCGTCTTTGCAGCCGCAGTTGTATAGGGCAATCTGATATAAATGCCCCCTTTAAGTGTGAAGGGATAAGGTAGTAGATGCTGCAAGATTTGCCTGAAGTGCAAGTACAGTTCATGAAGAAGGTAAGGTCCTGGGAGTGTTGGATAGGGACAGCTGTCTGTCTGGTGTGAGGACTGTTTGCAGCACTGTCTCCAGCCTTCGAAGTTCCTGCGTTCCAAAGGCGGCCCAGTGCCACTCAGAGTAGGGTATTACAGAAACCAGTGGCTTGCTGGATTATAGCACAGGAAGCCGGGAGCAAGGTGGACAGTGCAAGCCAGGTTTCGCCCTTCCTCTTCTGCCTGTACTTCCTCTGGGTAGCTTTTGTTTTGTATATATAAACACACATGATTTATTTTTGAAAATGTCATAGACACGACAAAAACCTTAGGCACTACAAGAATGTAGCTAAAAAAGAAGAAATCCCCCTTTTCTAACCCCTACCCTTTCCTGGAGACAACATCCAGAGCTTCTTCTACACACCAAGCCTTGCTCATTCGCACCCCCTTCTCTTTTCTGCAGTGGCTGTGCCTCTTCCAAGCTAACCCTCTTGTTTAAGCACTGACGTGAGAGCTCATGTGACACATGGACATGTGGCAATGATCTTTCTCTGTTCTGATAGTTTCACGATGTTCTGCGTGGTGTGCTATTGTCCAGATGGGCTGCAGCTTTTAACTTGTCCTTTATTGATATGCATTTAAGTCTTTAGGGATTTTTTTCTTCTACTCCAAAGAATATGTATTGAATGCATTTTTACATGCATTAAAATATATGTGTCTAGTACTTTTGTATGAAATGGTGTTAGTACAAAAATGGACTAGAGTCTGGAGAGAGAGAGTTTTTTTTGCCCCCTTCTTAGGGACTGAAAATTCAGGCCTCTGACTTATGACCATTTAACTTAAGATATATTTTTTAAACTTTTTTATAACACAAAAACATTCAGTATACACATATTTAATGGAAACCTAACTTAGAATTTTGATGTTTTCCCCCAGATTAGTGTTATGTGACAGTATACCAGTATACTGTCTGTGATGCTGAGCAGTGACAGTGAGCTACAGATCTCAGTCAACTGCCTGATGATAATGGTGACGCCAGTCTTCTACAGTGCAGTGTGTTGCTGAGGCAGAATGTTCTCTACGTGTAGATAGGTATCACACAAGTCCACTTTTTTAATTACCATATCTTCAACCTAGAATGAGCTTATTGGCATGTAAAGCTATAAATCAAAGGATGTCTAACTATTCCTCTTTAAAAGATTATTTGTTTGTATGAGTATTTTGCCTGTGTGTAGGTAGGTGCACCATGTGCATGCGGTTCCTGCAGAGGCTAAAAGAGGGTATTGGGTTACCTGGAACTGGAGTTATAGGTGGTTGTGAACTGTCAGGCTGGTGTTGGGTTCTCTGTAAGAGCGCCTAGTGCTTTTAACTGGTGAGCCATCTCTCTGGTCCCTCTTGATACTCTTACTCAATATAGCCTTTGAAATCCTAGCTAGTGCAATAAGTCAGGAGTAATAAAAAGTGAAAATGAGACAGGAAGAAGTGAAATTACCACTCTCTGCATTCAACTCTTGGAGGCTCTGAAGATTCCACTGGAAAACTCTTTGATCTGACAAATACTTGTAGCAAAAAAACTGGATCCAGAATCAAGCTGTACAAGTATGTAACTTTCATATGCACCAAGTATTTCTTGCCAAGAAAGAAATCATAAAAATCCCATTCCCAGTACCTTATACGTACACACACACACACACACACACACACACACACACACACACACACACACACACACATACACACACACACACACACTCCTAAGAAAAAAGCTAATCAAGGAGGCACAAGGCTTCTACAATGAAAATCTTGTAGAAGATTTCACTGGAGAAAAATACGAAGAAATTTCTAGAAGATAGAAATAGTATCTGGAGAAGCATATGTAATAGGGCCCACTCTACCCTTCAGTGCAGGTACCTTTTGAGGCCAGAGAGGGCATCAGATAACCTGGAACTGGAGTTATGTGCGGTTGTGATGCCGCCTGATGCGGGGACTGAACTTTGGTCCTCTGGAAGAGCAGTGAGTGCTCTTAACCTGAGTCATCTCTCCAGCCCCAATACTTGGCTTGTAGAAGTGTATGCATGTACAGGACTTAAGTAGTTCCAAAGCAAATGTCCCTTCAGGCCAAAATGTCCATTGCCATTAGATTTCCTGAAAATGGCCTATGCTGGTATTTAGAAAGATCTGTAAAGTCACTTTAGGCCACTGACTCTTCACTTGGCTCCTGCAGGTTTCTCTCCATTTGTAGCTATTCATCCATCCACCCATCCATCCATTGATTTGTTCATTCATTAAAAATCCCCTGAGTGCACACCATGGGCCAGACTGAGCCAATCTGACAGGGATCCCAAAATGAATAATACACAAGCAATATCATGACAAAATAACTTGAACATTTATCATTAATTGGATAAGATAGCTGGAACAATTACAGAAGTCAGAGAGGGTGATATACAAGAAAGAAATAAAAACCCTATACCTCTTGGCTTGCTGAAGGATGGAAGGTGAAGAAGAGGAAGGGCTGTAAGGAAGAGGGAGAAGAGCCTGCCAAGTGCAGGCTGGCTTGTGAAGACAGACAAGAGCGAGCTCCAGGAAACGGCTGGCTTGCTGAATCTTGACTGAAAAAAAGCACGACCATCATCACCACTTCCAATATTGCCATAGCTATCACCACCACCAACCACCACCACTGTTATCACCACACCACCATCATCACCACTTCCAATATTGCCATAGCTATCATCACCACACCACCATCATCACCACTTCCAATATTGCCATAGCTATCACCACCACACCACCATCATCACCACTTCCAATATTGCCATAGCTATCATCACCACACCAGCATCAACACCATTTCTATCATTGCCACCAGCACTGTCATCACCACCACCACCACCACCACCACCATTACCACCATCACCACCACCATCACCATCACCACCACCATCACCACCACCACCACCACCACCATTACCACCACCATCACCACCACCACCACCACCACCATTACCACCATCACCACTACCACACCACCACCATTACCACCATCACCACCATAACTGACAATATCAGCATCATCATTGCCATCATCCCCACCACTGTTATCGCCACCATCAGCATCATCACTACGCCACCACCCCGAAAATATTCCTACCATTACTATCAATACTACCAAGACCACCAATACTATCACTGCCACTACCCTCCTCCACCACAATTACCACCACCATCACCACCACCCCCATTCTACATTTATCCCAGATTATTCAGGGATCTTGCCTCACTCTTCACTTATCATTGACATCTGTTTTCCCACTCACAAAATGGGAAAAGGCACCTACTTCTTTACTTTGCTCCAGGGCTCAAGAGTTCAGAGATTTCATAGATCACCACTAAACATTTGTGGTTAAATGAATGTTTATACTAATTAATTCATTTTTTCATGTATCATGAAGAAAAAAATAACAAAATGTGCCTACCTCTACTTAGAAAATTACAGTAGCAGAAAAAAACCCCTCTTTCTACTTGTAAGTACCCATACACACTTGAGAAATAATCCTTGCAGATTCATCCCTGAATATCCCTTGAGAACCATTCCTACACCTGACAGTCACAGAGGTCTGTGTCAGAACTAACTGAGGTATGCCATGTTTTTTCCTGAATAGTCAGGGAACTTCTGACTAAAGGAGAAAATGCTGGACAATGTTTCCATTTTGTGAAAAAGGCAAGCTCACTGACAGCCTAGTATAGGCTTTCCCAGGGCTGTGATTTGGTACGAACTTGAAAACCTCGACTACAAAGTTTCAGGAGGTGTAGGGAAGAAACGCCGCCTTCCTGCAATGCTGGAGTGTGCTGTTCCAAATTCTCTGCTGCGGAGAGTTTGGGGTTTGAAAATCACAGCTGCCAGGACTTTTACAAAGTAACTGGCCTGCGTGTGCCCATGCTCTGACCTCACAGGAGTAAGTGTTGTTTTTCTGTCCGCTCAGAACTATAGGTGCTCATTGTATAGTTTTTTCCCCCTATGATCTAAATACATGAGGTATTACAATTTTTCCCACTTGTATTGGGAATGCAACTTCTAAATAGTGAGCAGCTGTGACTGCCAGTGCGTGCTTGTCATCCCTACACCTGGAAGGCAAAGACAGATGGATCCAGAGTGCGTGATGAGCTTCGGCTTCAAACTGAGGCCCATTCCAAAAAAAAAAAAAGAAAAGTATGTGAAACAAACACCAGCAGTTGAACTTCGTTGCATCATTAAAAAAATTTATTCCTTGGTCATGTAGTGTCTCCTTCCTTCTCTGTATTTTAGAAGAATTCTCAAGAGTTGTATGTTATGATCCTCATACAGCTAATTCTAGGTTTGAGTCAACTTGGGGTGAGTAAGGATTGAACCCTTTAATATTTGTGTTTATACACTTTTCTTTGAGGACCTAAGTACAGATGAGGAATCTGTTGGTGACTTCTCCATTAAGAAGATATTAGCAGCTAGAGACTGAAGCCCTGTATCTTCAAAGTAACTGCATTTGAACTACCTTTATGGAAGTAATTACTGTTAAGTGGGGTCATGCTGGCACTCTGATCTGTTAGGATTAGTATCCTTTCGAGAAGAGTAAGAGAGACCAGAGCTGTCCTTGAGCCAGGGAAGAAGAGGTCACATATACTACG